CCTCCTCTCTTCTTATGGGCTTCCGAAGGCAACGTTAGGCATTTTGGCTCGGCTTCAAACGCTCCCCAGAGCCTCACCGCAGCCTGGCCCTCTTCTCGGCAGCTGGTTGAATGCCAGCATTGGTGTGAAGCCCATCCAAGTCTCGCTGTTGAATCCCAGGAAGTTGTCAAGGTTCAACCGCCAAACCCTCGAGATGAAAAGGGGTCGGCGGCACCCGGGCGGAGCCCTTACAATATATATATATAACTCAATGTCAACATTATGTGTGGAAACATGGACAGCTCCCTGAAAGTCAGGGCTTGATCTTGACCAAACCATGTACAAAACAACATGACAAACAAACATGACTCACCGTAGACTCTAGACCATGTTTTTTGAGGTTCAAATTGCCACATCCAAGCAACCCCTTTTGCCACTTGCGCGATTGCGAAGCTGTGCTGATCGCACTGGTCCACTTGCGAAGATCTCGAGGGCTCGACCGCTGGCCGCTCGCAACAGGCGTGTGAGCGGCCATGGCATTGAGAGTGTGGACCGGTGAGCGGCAAGGGGAAAGCGTCAACGCGCTGCACCTGGAAGTGGTGTGGTTTTCTGTGCCTGTGACTTGAGAAAAATTGCAAAATCCGTGACAATGTCCAGGCTCCACTAGCCGCACAATGCTCCTTCCCCAAGAATTGCCGCTCCGGCATCAAAATAAGTTTCAAAGTCTCCATCGAACATCGTCAAGCCATACACTTGAAGGCAGTGAAGACCAACTGTTGGATCATTCTTGAAAATTTTGGCAGGGCATCGTTGCGCCCACATTCTGAAACATGATTGTATAATATAGCTGTGCCGGTTTTGTGATCTGTCTCACTTCAAGCCCACGTTTGGTGGGGTTCAGAAACGGCTTGTACGCTTTGTGGTTGTGGCCCTTTTGGCGTCTTACGGATGCCATTTCAATATCCGTACCGTCTCCTACCCTAGGCGTAGGCTACGGTAGGCCCTTGGTAGGCTGCCAACCCCCCTGAGCCACACACTGCCAGGCTGGCCGCATCGTAGTCGATGCACACGCATAGGAGCTCTCGGTGGGCGTACAGACCCGCGGACGTCGCAGACCTTCACGGTGGTCGCGGACGTTCCAAGGCTTCCGGTCGTCAAACAGGGTGGACATCTTCCATGAAACCCTGGACCATGTCCACCCAAGATTCCAAGATGTTGGTTGAAGTGGGGGTAATATATAGGGGTCTCTACCAAAGGTGGTGATGACTGTTTCAAGCAATTCTTTGGACTGTTGCTGGGTGGGGGGCTAACCCAGCATGAACACCTTTCTTGAGTCGAACCAATGTGTATATATAGATATATATACCGTATAAATATATATATATATATGTACATTTATATCAGTAAGCTTGCAGTGCGAGATTTGATTTCATAAAATGCTCATGTCCTGATCTTTTGGACAACGATGATTCCTGGACCAACGATGGCGGTTTATTTCCTGGCGTCTTTTGCCTGGGCCAAACTCAATTACATCAAGAATATATAAAAATTATCATATTTCGCGGTTGAACTTGTACGGGTCTAGAAAAGGATGATCCATTATCAAACGGGCAATACAATGTGGCACATGTGCCACGCTTGGCCCATTCGCTGAAGCAGCCACAAGCGAGAAATTCCAAAGCCGCCCTCAAACTGAACGCCTAGTAAAGACTTCAATCTGAATTGAACAACATGTGGGGCCGTCCCAATCTAGCGAGTGGTGAATGCACAAGCCGCTGCAAGCCTAAGCACAACCTGCCCAACAGCGATGTTGAAGCAAATGCGACGTCGGCTTGGGAGTCTGTCCAAGAACTGTGCTCTTTCAGGCTCCCGGGCGTTCCGCATTTCAGGATCACCGGATAAGCACCTGCCCGACCCGGGCGCGGGGAGCGAGCGCCGGAGCGACCCGCGCTGGCGGAGCGCGCGCCTATCTTCGACTCTTTGAGCTCAAAGGCGTGGCACCTCAACGGTGAACGGGTGCGGAACGGACCCTCGGTTGGGAGGGTGTGGTGTGGCCTTGGGACCGACCTTCTGGTGGGGAGATGGGCACCCTAAACCCTAAACCCCAAACCCTTTTTTTGCGCATTACATTCTGGTCTTGTGCTGGTGTGATGGGGGAGTGGTACCCGTGACGATTATCTTCTAAATCAAAGTCCGCGATGTCCCAAAGGGAAAAATTCTGGCCGAGTGAGTGCCCAACCATGTCTTGGGCTCTGATTATCCCAAAAAGGCAATGCATCTGACATTCTGACCATCTCCTGACTCACGCACGTTTGCTCACAGGACAGGACCCCACAACTATGGATCACCGTATGTCTCAGTCTCCAGCCATGAGAGCTTCGTCCTGTTGTCACCCACCATTCGCGCCGCCACCTGCGGAGCCCGAAAAGAACATGGACCGTCATGGACCCTTGCGAATCACTGGTTTGTGAAGGAAACAGTCTTTCAGGGTCCCGCCCATTCGATCCGGGTCCATGTTAGTTTCCGAGGGTGTAAGCTATCACCAATTGCATGGCCTCACATCCAGCCCGCCTGCACCTGCTGATCCTGCGTGGCGAGCCACCAGAACGGGCGGCTGGAGTTCGGTGGCACCAAGACCTGCAACGAGGTCAACAAGGTGTTGGGGATCTGGACATCTGGCTAAAAGCTCTTGCTTTTACCAGGCTGGTTCTTCCGTGCTTCGTCTCACGACTCAGAACATCTCGTCAACTCTGAACCAAAACAACTAGTCTGGGCATCCGGCGGCAGTGTCTGACGGGCACTGGCACTGCTTAAAGAACACCTGCACTACTGAAGGTAGACAGGTCATCACCACAAAGTATGCCGACAGTGCCTTTAGTGCCGCCCAAGTCCAAGCTTTTTCTGTTCCACCGCCAACGTGAGCAGGCGTGAGCAGGCGTGAGCATGCGTGAGCCTTTTGTTCCAGGTAATCCACACACAACAAATATGTGCGGGCATTGAGCATGGCTCAGACATGCGCGTTCAGCAATGGAGAGCTCAAAACTGTATGAGTCACGTGACAACCTTCACAGGCTGAGCGGCTTCGCATCGCATCAGAATCGGTCGTCCCTACGGTCCCTACCTTCGGTCCCACTCCGATGCAATCACCCACATGGTCACCCGCAGCGATTTCTGGCCCATCAGAGCTCCTAAGTGACATTGCACACAAGGATTTCAAGGGGGTTCGGTTCACTCACCACAACATGCTCAAAAAGAACCCAACAAAAACCCAGCCCACCAGCAGTAACCAGCTGTAACCAGCCCAAAGTGCAACCAGCCACAGCCAGCCACCAGCCAAAGTGAACGGAACAAAGGACAAAAAAGAATATGCACCACCAAAGCACCACGACAAAATTAACAAAAAAAAAAGACACCTCCTGCAAGCTTCAGAATCAGAAGGATTCTTCTTTGCCTTCTCCGCTCGCTTCTTGAGCAACTTCATGGTCGCTTCATTTCCAGTCATGTCCATGCAGCTCTGCCTGGCAAAGTTTAGGCTACTGTAAGTCCTGGGAACAAGGAACGTCATGAGTCATGAACCTCGTTAAGTGGGGCTTTCACATAGACACAATAGAGTCAATAGAGTGTCCAGCCTCAAAGCTTTGAAAGAAAAAAATCTCATAACCAGTAGGGCAATATATAATATAAGCATCCACCGTTGGTTCAGGCAAGCGACCCACTGTCTGACAGTTCGTCAAAGGGAACGCCTGCTTTAAGAAAGGCTCGCACCGTATCTGCATGGCGCTGCTCGTTGCCCCAACACGCTCGATGGATCGGCGTGTAGCCATCCGTGTGCCGGTCACGGGGGTCTAAGCCATGTGCGACCAACAACCGCGCGATCTGCGAGCGGCCTTGGAAACCAGCGCCGTGCATCGGAGTGTAGCCATCCTTCTCCGGGATCGAAGCATCCGCTTTGGCGTCCAGGAGGAACTTCACAGACTCAGGGTTTCCAGTGAGCACTCCGTGCATTAAGGGGGTTTGCCCTCCCTGGCCGATCTTGTTGATGTCCTCACCCTCATCCAGAGCTGCTTGAATTGCAGCTGGGTCATTCGCCCGAACAGCCGCGTGGATATCTGCACCCTGTGCGAAGAGGGCCCCCCAGGTGACGATCACACAGGGTACAAACTTCATGGCTCCAATATCGGTCGACAGAATGCTTGAATTCTTGCTTGGCATGGCTCATTCGATATCATCCGATCATCAATGTCTCGCGTTGTTCGTGAAACCCGTTGCCCCAAGTGGCTTTCAGCCGTGAGCCGCGGACAGCGAGGCCGAGGAGTTGCAGTCATAGATCTATGAGTTTGGACTGACATATCACTTCTCGCATTGCTCGCCCGAAAGTCATCGAAAGTCTCTCACTTGTATCAGAGCCCTACTTCTGTTCCACTGGGCAACCTCCATCCCTTCACTTGAATATTTGGAGCCTCGCTGCTTGCTACAGCATGCCTCGCTCACCCTCGTAACTCTCGCCTCCATGTGCTCCGTGTGGTTGAAAAGCCTGGAAGGTACCATCATAACGCACAAAAGGTGCAGTGTCATTATCATGTGTGAGTCCAAAGCGCGTATACTGTATCTGTATCGGGCATTGCCTATCAATGGCTTCCACCAGTACAAACTTCGGCCCTGCAGTACTTTGCCTGCTGCTATTGCTTGGCCACCTCTTTCCTACACACTCCCATAGGTGAAACACCTGGAGGGTATAAGGATGATTGGGCTGGCTGCAGGTACAATAGCCTCATCAGCAACAGGCTCACTACAATAGCCTGTTTTAGCACAACCCTGTCGTTTTGTGACCAACTCTTCGTGCCAAAGCGCATCATGGCCGGGACCAAGCTCACCAAGCAGCTTGGAACCCCCCGAATGGCCTGTGGCATGAGCTGCGGTATGAGCACAATTCAGTGAGGGTACGAAGAGAGGGTGCACATTCATCAATTCCCTGGCAAATGATGCAAATGTATATAACATCAAACACATTTGGGACAACATGGGTAAAATCCTCTTCAATCCCCCACCTCGACCAATGCCACCGTTTCAGTCCGTAGGCAGCAGGGATGGAGCGGCCTCAGAAATTGTCCCAAGAAGGCAAGAAGGGATTGAAATTGGAGGTCGCTAAGAACAGATTTGCCACAGCACATTGGTGTCATTGATTTTGAGGACCCGCCTGCCACCCCATCCACCCAACAACGCGCGGGTGCTTCCCACACGACCCTCCGCTCTCACCACCCATGACCTCTCAGCCTCCGACGTCAAGTCCACGCTCGTAGCACCCCCAACCTCGGTTGATCGACGCGACGCCGAGAGCAGCGAGCAGATCCGAGCAGCCTGCAGGGACTTGGACACGAAAGCGAACGGACGAATGAAATGCATTGAAATGCCACCATGCAACACCCAAAACATCCATTGCACTAAGAGTTCCCCAAAAGGTGGTTTCGGTGGTGCTGTTTAGTTCTTTTCTCCAGTCCACCTGCCCAGCAAGGGCAGGCTACAAAGCGCCCTTCCTCTTGGTCACCCGAATTCTCAAAACTGTAATGCCATGTCATCAGCGGAGGTATGATGGCGTAGGGTGCGCACATCTGGAACGATGACCTGGCAGCGGGGCTCACAACCACTTGGGCCTTACAGAACTGGGATTCTGAAAGAGTTACAGAGAAGAAATGGTATATATAATACTATATATAGAGAATAATATGTTATAGAGAAACGGTGAGCTCCAAAAATGGGTTCCTCTTGTTCGACAGCAGCCGATTGCATGTCCAGTTGTTGATGAAGTTTTTGGTTACGCAACTTGGCACGGCCTGGGGTCAAAAGATGTCAAAAGCCTCACAAATGCTGTCTGTAGCATTCGGCTTCCTTGCAAACCCGAACACCGTGGAGCCTTACGAATGGAAGGACTTGGTCCCATTGCGGAGGATTTCTCTGGCCAGACGGCCAGACAAGCTGCCTCCAAAGGTGCATGTGATCGCAAGGAGAGGTATGCGACGCCATCGCCCGCATCGTTCTGAATCTCCGGCAGGATGGACACCTTCCGTCGCCGTCCGCCGGTGAAGTCCACCAAGACAAATGCGACATGCGACGGTGCGACGCGTTTTGCTTTCCACACGGGTTCTCGTAGTCCTGCTCTAGCTGGAAGCGTTGCAACCCTTGCAGGATTCATGATATTCATGTCCATGCCCGTAGGTACATACAATTCACTTCTGACCACCAGCTGCAATCCAACTGCTTTTGAGAGCCTGCCTTGCTGCTGAATGATGCCACTGGATGCAAAGGCCCTGGTCCACCCGGCTGCTGAAGCCGCAAATCACTCAAACCTGCGTGTCACAATGACTGAGCGCCCTGGCATGGTAAGATCTAATTACTGTAACTGGTTTCAGTTTGATCATTTGGATTCATTTGGCTTTTGAGGCATACAAGGATATAGAAGGGTCCATGGCGGTGCACACTATCTGGCCTCACCTGCAAGAACCCTTCAGTTTCCGCATGTCTCTGGACCCGCGCAGTCTCTGAGTGGGCGAAGGGTAGTTTCCATTCGGGGTGTGTCTTAGTAGAGTCCAGAGATCCCCGCAATCAATGGAAGTCCACTCAGTCGATGTCCCATAAACACCCAACCGCGACTGATGAGGCCCCTCATGAGACCTGAGACCAATCCACACCATTCCATGTGTATCATGAAGAATTCACGGAGAATCCACAAAGAGCAAACACTGTTTCTTTTGTTGCATTCGTTCGCCGGCCGTCAGTTACCGGTGGCAGTTAGCGGGGACAATCTCCGCCGTTCGCCTGCCTTTGTCCTCTGATGGACAAAATGGGCGGTAAAACTGGACCACATTGGCCGGCCTGTGGAATTGACAAACCACCAGCGTGTGTAGACCTCAGGCAGTGCAGCAACAAGCAAGTTGTCTCCATCAGCCCGCACACAGCAGCAGCATGAAGATCATCTAGACTGCAACGTGTCATTGAAAAGACATCTAGATATATAAACTACATGTGGAAGCATTGTCGAAGCGGTGCAAGCTGTAGAGTGGTGGAAACAAGTAGGACTAGTAGGACAAAGAAAAACATTCAGGATTGGGGTGGTTGGGGGCCGGTCCAACCACTGGATCGAGACTTAAAAGGGCCTAAGGTCCCTGCGATGAGCTCCCTTCCACTACGCATGGCGTTCAAGTTGATGTACCTGTCCAATCGTTCAAAACGTATCCTGTCCAGGTGACGCTTAAAAGGCTTCCTCCTGATGTAGGCTTGGACTTGATGGTCTAGGTCTAGCCCAAATTTTGTCTAAACCCTGCTCTCTGAGACTCTTCTTGATCTGATACAATGCGTCAGCACGCACTGAGGCCCCAACATGCCTCTGAAGTCAAGCTGCACCTCAAGACATCTCGAGACCAAAGAGGCTAACCCAGTGGGAAGAGGCTAACCCAAAACCTGGCGCTTTCGGGCAAAAAGTGTCCAAAATGATGGGGCGATTCGGGGGACCAGCTCCGAATCGTCCTCACCAAGTGCTCACCAACGGCGGAACGAACTCCCGTCCCCGCCACTCAGGCACCGCACCGTTTCGCTGGACCCCCGACCCGACACAGCTGGAAGAGGTAGGGACCTGGCTCGCGAGGCTGTGGAAAGACGCTTGTAGACATGGGCGTGTATTAATAAGAAGACCTCCCAAACACCCCCTATATAGAAGAAGGGAAAAATAGACCAAAACCCATTGGTTGGGGGCCTCCCTGTTGAAATACATCCACATTTGTAATTAGATCTTCTCGGGGGAAATTGGACTACAAGAGCGGCAAGACTTGGGTTTGGGACACACCAATGGTCTTGAGACACACTAAACAGACATCATTAGACAATTAGACTCACTAGACTTCTAAAAAACCATGCGCGTGGTGTGGCGAAATTCCCAAGCAATCCACTGCAAAGACTGGTGTCCAGACGGCGCTATTGACGTGACGACCCAGTGACCGGTCCGCACCATGAACTCGCGTGCCCTTGTGTGTCACGAACTGCGAAGGACACTGAGAGGTCCTGCAGATGCGAACTTGGAAGCTCTCGCCCAATGAATTGTTGTCCCACTCGAAACACACAGTCCTCCGCCACACACTCGAAGCATGGGAGCAAACTCCTCAGACAGGGCCGGCAAACCACAAGCACTGTTTCTTTTTTTCCGGGCTACTGTTTGAGTCCGTGGCCAGGCCCTCTCTCTGTGTGCCTCTCTCCCTCTCTTTCTTGGAACTGGTCATGGAGGTTCCCTGTTGCACAGCCTGAAGCTTGGGTCCGACACTGTGGCGCAATTCGCAGCTGCGGCGCATCACTGCGCGTGCCTTAATTTAAAAGCTGGGCGGCTTCCGTGATGCTCAGAAGAAGCCACGAAAACAAAAATCTGTTTGTTTATATAATATGCAGTTTATGCATCTGCTTGATGTTTACATGTCTATGCGTTCGATCTATGAGGTCGATCTATCAATATGTCCATCAAATCTATCAGTCGATCAATTATGGTATGTGTCTTCTCTATGTTGATGATATGTATGCAATCGAGATGTGTTCAAATGAAGTGATCTACAGCCTGGACATCTTCAGACCCTTAGATCCAGCTTAGTCAAGGGCTTTTGGCAAAACTTATGGACTCACCTTTTCCCTCTTACCAGCTCTGCAACTTTCATCCTCAAAAACAGAAAAGGACGTTATATGGGTGTGTGTTTTCCAGTGTTCTTGAAACCCCTTTTTTAGTACCCGCATAGCGTCCCGCTCTCCTCAAAAACTTCTTTGGGAATCTCTTGGAGCAGTACCCATGCTGGCTTCCACGCAATGCCATTCCACTTCTCCCCGCCTAAGTTCGATCGGCGAATTTCCATGCCAAGCACATCGATCGACAAACTCAGATCGAGGCTTTGCATTCACCACGACGATGAGCGAGTTGAGATCTGGGCAGAAGGCGCAGCGGGGAAATGCAACTTCCCTTCGGAAAGGGGTGCAATCTTCTGGCCTTCCACCCAATATGAGTCCAGATCGATCTATATATATACATATACATTTAAAGTACACATACAATACACATAAATGTATTTTGTTTGCAACAAATGTATATATATATATATATGCTGGCAGTGTATTAGTTGTACAGTTGGGATATGCTGGGATGCACTTCGCTGGAGCTGAATGCCAGTGGCCAGTGGCCACTCTAGCACTATCTGAGACTATGACTTTGCCAACGCGGTCTGGTGCGCCCTCCTTTGCCATTGCAAACCCACCTCACAGAGTGATGAGGGACCAGCAACGACCGCTTAAAAAGGGACACACAAAACACAAGGCAATGCCTGAAGCAACCTTCCTCATCCAATCCTGGCGAATGAAAACCCGAAAGCACATAGAAGGACATAGCATGAAAGTCTTTGACATCTCCGAAGCTGCTTGCGAGCTAGCGAACTGAAAGCCTAAACATAAATGGACATCTCTAAGCTGCAGGCTGATTGGCATCACTTCCGCTTGGCCATTTGTGGGTACCACTACCTGGACTGTCCATTCCGCTGATCTCTAGACGGGTCGCTCCAATCGCAACTGGTGCAAGAGTCACAAGGAGCGTATATCTGGACCTCCCATCGTGGGCAGATCGAACGCGCCTCGCCCCCGAAGCCATTGTCCACCGCCAAATCAACGTTGCTTCCACACCTGGTCTCACTTTGCTTTATATAAGGAAACCACCCATGAATCATTACAGTGCAGGGTGCATCACTTGTGTTTCTTAGCAGCTGACTCAACCGGCAGTCGTTCCCTCTCCTGGCTGAGCAACTCAGAAAAAGACCTTCTGAAAACATATCCTGGCTTGACAAAACAATCCATGACCACAAGTGAGCACAATCTTCCGTTCTATTTGGCTCCTTGCCCATCTTTCTTCGATTCACTCGTGGGTTGAACCTTAGGCAACAAGGTCAGGAGGAAGCATGGAGCTCACTTGATAGACAAACACCCTACACTACACTCATGATCAAGCGAGTGTGATTCGAACTCCTTTTATACGTTTATTGGTCCTCCATTCCCAGAAGCCTAGTTTTGGGACTAGCTGACTAGCAAGGAGTCAGCTGGGTGAGTTGTCCGTGAACTCCGCACCTTTGCTTTCCAAGCTCAGGACTGGCAAAGTATATCGCATGGGAGTGCATTGACCACCGTGAACGGAGCCTGCACCTGTTTCCCCGTGTTATTTTCCCTGTCTTGGATGTGACATCACTGCTCAACCATGCCACTGCTCACGCAAAACGCACACAACCGCCTCCACGTGGCTCCAGCCCTGCTGAGGATTGGTTCCACAACTGGTTCTCAAATAGAGCCAGTTCTTCGGCAACACCTTGGCGTTGAGAAAATGTGACACCAAAAAAAAGAACAGTGAGGCCAGTGAGGCGCCCTAAATGATGGAAGCAGGCGTGTCTCAAAGACAGCATCCCAGATCCCCAAAGAACATGCTTCTCGCACATCGATGGAATGGAGGCTCTCTAGATTAACATGCGGTCAACTCGTCCCGGCACCAGTGGCGGATAGTGGCGGTCATCTAAGGCGGTCCCGGCCTCCTGCATGTCGGCGGGCCTGACAGCGAGTTTGGGGCAACACAGGTCAGCTGACCGGGGACATGTCCGACCAACAGCGAGCCAGCGAAAAAACCAGGCAGAGAACAAACAGACCTGCGAGCAGCGGGGCTGCCAAGGGTTCAAGTTCGGCACCGAACCCCCACTCTATGTCAAAACCAAGTGATGAGACTGACCTATGGACTTACCATGACTTACCTATGGACCCACGCAGCTCGCACCCATTTGGACCTTCCAAGTGCGACACGTGGTCCAGAACATCCCCCTTTGGTCCAGAACATCACCCTTCCAGGCCCGGTCCTGCAGATCCTCAAGGGAAAGGTGTGCTTGACCCCGCTGGGTGGGGGAAAAAGCCGTAGGGGACCGAACGGAGAGGCACAGACCGTCACATCGCTGGAGTTCGGATTGGCCACCTCAGCACGGTTTGGCGGTGGAGGTCCCATTCGAACAAATCTCGTGTGGGTTCTGGAACGAGTGGAGTGCTCTTGTAGCGCACTGCTAGGCGGCAACTTGGCGACTCTTTGACCAAGCGACTCGGTAAAAAAAAAAAGGTATACCCGTGACCTGCCCCAAGAAACACATGACCATTGCAAGCACTCTGTTCTCCCATGGCGTGGTGTTGATTGCAAGCACTCTCATCTGGCTATCGCTTGGATGTCCGAATCACCCGTTTTTGGTCGGTTCCCGGCTGGTACTGCAAAGAACTGCTCCGACCTGCCAGGCGGGTATAAAGCTCCGTGAACGGAAACGTGTGGAACTGACGGGTGGGGATGGAGGACTGCCAAAGAAATAAAGTACCGAAAAATGACAAGCTAAGAAGGGCACCAAGTGTATGTGACACCTCCATCAGTCAGCGCTGGGCGCAGCTGTAGGACAGCCTGCAGCTATTGCAGACAGCAGCTCATGAAACCAAAATTAAAAAAGGAACCACTTCAGTAATAAAACCCATTTTGCATCATTTTGCTATGGCCTTCGACCTCGGTCCCATCACCGCGCTCCGACATGACGCCGCCGCCAGAACCGCCTGCCCCATCCGTAGCTGTGCTTTGGGCGGCGCGGAGAGCAACTGTCCTGCACCTCGAATCAGCAACAGATCCACCCCAAACATCGAAAGTAAGCAATCCCACATAAAACAGTGCTCAAGACAGTGCAGCATTGGATGAGCAACCCCCACATCCTAGGATCGTATCCAGTCTTGTGAGTGTTTGGCCCACCCTCAGGTTCCAAGAGTTTTGGTGGAGCGAAGGCCAGCAAAAGAGCTTGGGCGCCTAAAAGCAAGGTGCCCTCGGGGCTCGCAGGCTTTTCAGCCTTGCGCAACATCAAGCAGCTCATAAGGAATCACAAGGAGATATCTGTGATTTCAACTTGATAGGGATGGAGAGGGGGAGGAGAGAATATAGGGTGCAAAGTTCTTTTTTCGAGAACATATAAGAACCGGACACTTCGGGGCCATCTTGACCATCCAACGCCCGTTTTCCTTTGCCTCCGCCAGCGGCTCGGCCATCTCGGTGGCTGTTGGGGCTGCGACGCCCTCGCTGAGCCTTCAATGTGGAGCTTGCCGGGGAGGGGTTCTGATCCGCACATACCATGAAACAACCGCCATCAGGCACCCAAAGGTTTAGTTCATCAGCCACATGGTCACCGAGATCTGGAGTGGCATGATTTTGAACCTACAACCCTTCACAAAACAAACCTGGCGCCCGCACAATCGCGCATCAATGCCTCAGCAACAGCACTTGGTGACAGTGAGTGGACTTCCAGATTGAACATCTCTGAATCGTCTTCGGAGTGTCTATCTTCCAAACCTCAGTACACATCCTGTTCCCAGTCATGTCATCTGCTCTCCCCCAATCTCCCCCACTCAGACTGAGACTCCGGCTGAGACGTGTGGATCCTGCGGTCACGGGCTGCAAGGCCTCCCTCGAGGCGGCGCTGGGCGCCTGGGCGGGTCTCCCCGGGAGAGACCCGGGAGCCGGAGACCCGGCAAGCGAAACCCATGGCGTGGGGAGAGAAGACAGATCGCCCGTTATGGGAGGAAAAAAAACGATAAAGTCCTCGGCAAAAGTGGAGGTTGGGTTCTCTTTCCATCTCCTTTTCAAGCGCCACCTGCCAGATCGACTGAACAAAAAGTGCCAATGGTGGCAGATCTAGGATCTGGGCCAAGAAGCGAATCTCCAAATCAGCTGGGGTTCGATTCAAGACCTCAAACATGTGAGCAAAGACATGGAAGCTTTCAGGCTGAAACACTATGGTGGAGATGTGAGCTGATCCTAGATCCAAGATCTTGCAGCGGAAATGGTACCAGAAGTAGATAGCTCAAGTACTCTCTGTTCCCAGCTGTTTTGTGCTCCTCTTACTGCACTATATTGGCATAAAATATTTACACACCTGCTTGAAACCAAGCAACATGAATGATGCGCTTGCACAAGCACCCTGACCGCCCACGACTGCCCACGACCGCCGATGTGAGCCCCGGACGCAAACCGTCGACGTGATCAGCAGCACCTGAGCGAGGCACCAAGGCACCGTCTCAGCTTACAGGAATGTGCGGATGGGGATGTTTGGGAGTAGGGGTATGAGGGCAGAACAGTGGCACAAGGTTGGGCAACGGGCTCAGCGTTGCTCGGGGCACAGAACATTTACCTGGTAGAGTCTGAGCATAATTCAGCACTGGGTTGAGCTTCCTACCAACTGAGGCGGTCTTGGCATGACAAGACGGCACCTGGCCAATACCAATCACGGAAGACTGTGGGCACAGATTGGTCGAGATAAGCAGTAAGAAGTTAGAAAGAAGTGAATACATCGAGCAATCCCTTCTTCCCACTGAACTTGACCTTCAAAGAAAAGCCGGGCAGGCATCAAGAATCCTTCCTTCTTGGTATCCCACGTCACATCGGCCTCTTCCAGGGTGCTCATCACTCTCATGGGATGTTCCTTCAGCATGTTCACACGCCTCCCGCCCGTACTCAATCCTGCAGGGCTCAGCGTCCTTGGCTTGAAAAAGCCAACGAGAATTGTCCGGCAGCCATGGAGTCTTTGATGGTCTTTGTCTTCCCTGGGCCCACTGGGTGGGTGGTCATCAGGCGCAAACGCCAGGCGCAAAACGGACCAACGGCCCACTGGGCGCCCTGGCTGGAGAATCAAGCAGGCGAAGAAATAGGCACGGCCTGACTGACCATGCGGCAGTGGGTGCACCATTCGCTGGGAACTCCTTAGGTCCCAACGTGGAGCCGGTCGAGGCCTGAGCTCGAGCTCCGGAGCTCTGGGAATACCCGGAAAAACCACCGGGCACTCGTTACTGGTAGCGATGCACTTTACTGGTTTTGAGCCGGAGAGCCCAACAAACACTTAGTGAGTTTCAGAATAAGATCGATGTGTAGGTTCTGAAACTGGGCCGCAGTAAGTGTCAAACTCGCCCTCTTCCGGTCAGCAAGCTATCCAATGGCACGGCCTCTCTGAATCCAATGAGGAGCTCTACATAGAGTGATGGCAAGCTGAACATCTATAAACAATTTGAGTTTTTAAATCTTCAGTGCACTCTCTCTCGCTCTCTCCTTGTTGTGGGATGGGTACACCCAATGAATGCCCTGCCACCCTGCTGTCAACTGCCGTGCAACACACAAAGGCTAGGACACGGGCCTGCGATGATGGTGGAAGAACCAACCCCTTTCAAGCAGAAAGGCCAACACAGTTGCCGGACGCAAAAGGTCCATAAGAATCCAACAAACATCACAAACATCAACAAACACGCGATGTGCAAATTGTTCCAACTGTGATTGGTCACGCCAAACGCCTCGGCACCCTCTTCCACGCTCACATGGCATGCGATGCCCGAGATGTTCACACCTGAGGTGTTTTCGAGCCGGTTTTTGCCTGAAAGGGCCCAAAAGCATCGAGCAGTCGAGCCCACCTGCGAACAGGTATCCATAGTGCATGTTCTCAGAGCCTCGCGCCCCATCATGGCCCACACCACTTCCCAAGTCAGAAGTCAAAAGTCGGTCAAGTGATGTCAAGTGAATGTTTCCCAAAAAAGGACTCTGGGCTTCTCTGCGTACCTCAAAAACTCTCTTCGTGTTGCTGTATCTCTTGGTTGCCGACTGTCATTAAAGACTCGGCTGGCCAAATGCACAAAGGGGGCGCCTGTCCAACACACACGGCTTTTTGCTAAAGGATGTTGCTAGCCGCCTATCCTCTGCAGGTGGGACAGTGCGGACAAGGAATCTGCAATTTGCATTAGCTTGCCAACTTGCTCCTGCCAGGTCCTTGTCTGACTGCCAGGTCAATTCAGCTCAGGCCACGGCTGATCACAAGCTGCACCGGCTTGATAGAAGAGACCTTGCGAATTGGCATGCTGCCCTCTCTTGACCGGAAAGTGCTGTCAGCTTCTCCCTCCTCTGAGTGTTTCATGAGCCCAGGCGACGCCCCCGTGTTGTTGCTCCTTTCTGATGTGGTTCTAATCTAGATCCAATCTGATCCAGCCATTATGCTCAAACCTCCTTTGACATAAGTTCTCCACATCTCCTCGGATGAATACATCACCTTGGTGCCAATCCAACACCATGAGCAAGAAAAAGGCCTAATCCAAAAGTTCTCCCCCGTCATGAGCTCCGCACGAGGACCACCATCAGGTTTCCGCTGCATGTGGTAGGAAAAGCGAAGACCTGAGATACAAGTTAATACGACCACTGAATTGTCGGATTCGAAGTTCGTGTGACCCGCTCCAGGTGCAAAAGGCTTTAAAAATCTAGCGACCTAGCGCTGCTTTTGCCTTGCTCCAAATTCCACTCAGGTTCCCACCGCAGCGTGGAAGCACTGGCTCCCAGGTGCCCAGCCTGCTTGAGACAGGCTGGGTCTAGAACTTCATCCCACTTCCCATCTTCTGACTCTTGGTCACATCAAGAAAATGCTGTTCGCCGATATGTGTATGTGTATGTATATGTGTTTCCCGTTGCTTAATTGTGATGGCAAGGTCTTTTAGCCGAGGGCATGCCGCCGCCCTTACCCCCGGGCCTGTGGTTTCTAGAACTGATGTCTAACTCCAGTTCGCGGCCTGCCGACCCCAAAGTGGGTTCCAGGTTGGGGAAGAAAAGAATGTTTGCCTGTCTGTCTGTCGGTCGGTCGGTCGGTCTGTCGTGTATGTAGCGGGACCTCCTGTTAGGGATATATGCGCCCACCAAACCAAGGGGACGCAATATCACTCTGAAGGTTCACGTTTCCAAGGCTCCGGCCAAAGATGTTCACCGTTGGTGTGGAACCTCGCCGGTGTGACGTGGTCATCGCGCAAAGCTCACTGACTTGGATTAGGATGGACCCCTGGGGCTCTGGCCTTGACGACTGTCCACCTGACGAAGAAACAAAGAATACAAATGGACACAAAATGAATTCTACACCATTTATATATATAGATCAATTTAGCATATCGTTAGCCTTTTTCCAACAAAAAACGGAAATGGACACTTGCTGCTGTAAGAGTGTTATCCCCTGCATGCTTGTTGTTGTTTAAGAATTTTTGGAGTTGTTTTTGCACTTTCCGCGTTACTGGGGTGGCCAAAGGGCGACGGTTGACTAGGCAACCCACACAAAGCTTGAGACTAAGTTAATGTAGACTATTGATTCTTAACGAATAAACATATCTTTAGATTGAAAACCTCTTCATATCAAAAGCCGTTCTTAATCAAGAGTCTACAATACATCACTCCAAGCATCATCGCCGCACTTGTATACGGACCCCAATTCATGCATCAAAACAACATGTTGGAAACTCAACACATGTCTTTTTTCCGGCCGTGGGTTGCATCGAACTGTTGGAATTGAATGTGTGTCCAACAATTGTTCGTGCAGGTTCCTCCCCAGGTTCCCTGTTGTGGGTTTCTTTGCGCCACCATCCAAGATAAAAAGAGAGAGAGAGAGACAGAGAGACAAATGTTCATGCGCCAAATGCTCCAAGGCCAGCACCGTCACCTCCAGCAATTGACACCGAGCGTTGCCACAAATTCCGGGCCTCACAAACACCGTTTCCCAAGGCCGAGAAAAAGCAAAAGGCCCATCTCCATGGCCCATCTCCCAACCCTCAAAGAATCGACAATCCTAATGGCCCAGTTGAAAATAAATCTCTGCAAAGTAGAGTCCACCAATGAACAAACTGTTTACCTCCCATGTATGTCACTAAATCAAGTTCAACCGCCACTAGTTGTTGGTATTGGCCAAGGATTGTTTGGGACGCATTAACGGAAGCAGGAATTGGGAATTGACACTTGCTGGAAGAAATGAAAGGGAGTCATGCGTTCTTTAAGGACCGCAGAATTGAAAGCCATTCCAATTGGCCCGCAAAAGGCGCCTCAGGCTGGTATAGGTTGGTATGGTTGCTTACTGCTTTATATGTTTACCTACTTTAACTTCTGTACAAAGGCCTCACATTGGCATGTTCCCTGTAACATTTGAACTTCCAACTCGGAGTTGTTGCATTGGACGATTCCTTCGCCACAAAGAAGAAAAACGAAGTACCAACAGATTGAACGAATTGAGAAAGAAATCTCAGCGAGTTCCAAAGGCAAGGAAGGAAGAAATCCCTAGATTTACGGAAGAGATCCTGAATGTATGAGCCCCTTTACAGGTTGATTTTGGGCAATAGTTGATTATTTTCTTGCAGATAATGTCACAACAAGGACTTTGTCAAATATGGTTGGGAAACCCGGGGCAAAGGAAAACCGTTCAATCAATATCTGGTGTCGCTGCATGGAAGGAATGTTGATGGGTGGCGTGCCTTGTGGGTGTCATTGACAAACGCAAAGGGTTTGGGTAGGGAAGGTCTTTTGTGTCAAAGGGTTTGGGTAGGCATGTATGGACATTTGGTAACTTGGTCAGTTTCACTTCCAAAGTGTTTGAGCATGTCGCTTCCTCACAGCAGGTGTCACGTCTGCGTCAGCTGAGGTCACTTCCATTCATGTCCGCCTTCCTCACCCATCACTTGCACCTCGGAAGGAAAGGGCGACCGGGTCACACAAAATTAGCTTCCTCGACCCGCTGCACGGAGACCCGCTGGCTTTTGAGGTAGCTTAGCTTGATGGAAAGTTGAAAAACATTAACAGCTATTAGACTCACTCACTCACCCACCCACACACCCACCCACCCACTCACTCACTCACTCACTCATGGCTTTCCTCCAAGAAGACCAGCCACGACAGCAAGGCCTAGAGCAGAAGCCCCACCAAATGATGTGCCGGGGGCCTTGAAGGGGCCATCAACACCAGTGCCCACGTTTCCCTTGGAGCGCAACTACCTATCACAACTCTGCCCAGGATGGCAAAGCAGGACTTCCCGGCCCCAAATCTGAGGCCACACCACACACCCCTCAATTCTCACACCCAAACGGTTTTCTTCCCATGGGGAGCTGAGATCCACCGATTCTTCCCACGAAGCGCCTCAGCTCCCTCAAGGGCCACTTCCGCGATCAAGGTGAGCCGATTCTCGACCAGTTGCAGCGCCAAGGGGTCGCGACCTCGCTTGTGGTCGCGAAGAAAGGGGGCAGTCAGTGGGTCACCCAAGAAGGAAATCGAGGAGAAACTCAGGTTCAACAGCCTGGTCCTGGTGCCGACGAAAATCCATCTGCCTAACGATTTTGTTGCGTGCATGTTCTCTGGTTTTTGAAAAGAGTAGGCCAACCTCTATGTTCAGACCACTTTAGGAGAAAAAAACATGTCAACTGTATACAGCACCGCCCAAAGCTTTGCCAGGTGCCTTTCCAGTTTAAACATCCTAGATATTGTTAGATTCTGTTAGAAGGAAAACTCATGTCTTGTGTGGAGTAACATCCTCCCCTCCGTCCATTCTCACATCTGCGGATCTCCAGCTCCCCGGCTGCGGATCTCCGACGGCGGCTCCGCGGACTGCGGTGTCCACCGGGGCGGGGCGCGGAGACGTGTTCGACGTGCAGATGAGACGGCAGGGATGGGCTGATGGGCTCCGCATGGATGTCCCCCTCATGGTCCTGCCCCGTGGGATCGATCCTGACAGCTGGACAGGCCTCCGCATCCATGGTCAAAAGCTCCAGCAAGGCATTGGCCATCGCACGGTGGTCTCGGGCGGACATCCGAATGGAATACGGCCTTGGATCGAGGCAGTAACCGGAAGACCACCCGGTTCCGCAGGCATCAAAAAAGGCTCCAAATACTCGAGCAGCCGAGTACTACGTGCAAAAGCGGCTAAATAGATCTAAAAGGGATTAAGAATGCATCTTCGTGATGCATGTTTGCTTTGCTTAGCGTATGTATGTATTTATAAATATATATATATACTGTATATGATAGTATGGATAGAGCAACGGGAAAATAGCAGAAACTTACAAACAGGACACATTTTCTGGGGCGCTCGACGGGACGATGACCGAACGCAGCTCGTAGGTGGTGTGTCGCCTGGAATCCACTTGGTGCTGTTCGATACAAAGAAACTAGAAGCCTTGCATGTGCCCCATGTCCGTAAAAAGCCGGAGAGGTGGCTGCATCGTGCATGAAACTGCTTGTCTGCACCCGGATGAAAACAAGTGTGGCTCAAGAAATGGCAGGTCCAGTTGTCTCCTTTTCACCTATCAGTTGGAAGCCATCACTACTAGGAAGAAGCTACTAGGAATGGGGTGGACTCCATTGATCGGCACTGAGAGCGCTGGCTTCCGGCGGTGCCCGTCGTCCACACGCTTCTGGTCGCCGCGGACCAACCACTCCAGACCTTTCGACCGAGCGAGGTGCAACACGCGAGGTGTGCAGTTCTGGTGTAGGGAGGAGTCATGCCAATGGTAGCGCATGGTAGCGCATTTGGCATAAGTCACACAAAGCACTCTTCCACACTCTGACGGCCGGGCATGGACACAAGGTGGTTGGATTTCGCCTCTGACGTAGCACACACACACACCAAAACAAGTGACGTGGAGGAATGCACCGCCTGGAGGAATGCAGCCGCAGCGCACCCCTCTCGAGATCAAAGCGCTCAATTCGAATGCCCTGGCAAAACAGGAAGGCAAAAACCGCTGTGACGGCGATCAACCGCATTTCTGGGTGGTCTGGATAGTGGCAAGGTCAAACATGCATGTTCAACGTCTCTTTGGCATTGTTGAGAATTATTGCGATATATATTTATACGTCTCCCTTTTCACATTCTTCACTAATGCTTTGTGCGTGAATCTTCTGAGAGGCTTGATTGTCCTTAAGCACCTATAAATAACACCTCGGAAGTTGCAGAAGCCTCTGCATGCACGATGATATGGATCATCACGCTGCCGGCAAACTCGAAGTGCTCGCTCGGCTCAGCCCACCTAGCTTCGGGAAGAACCCAAACACCACAATTGCTGGGGAAGTACATCATGACATCTCAGTCTCATGACATCCTCCTTTCGTCCCGGTCCCTCGAAATCGACCGCCAAAAAGGAATTGCGTTGCAGGCGTGCGACCTCTCGGCAATGCGAAAGCAACCATCCAAAAAGTTCACCTGGGAGGTGGCCACAGTGAGTGGCGAGCACTTGCTGCGCCGCTGGCGAAGAAGTGTTCCCCACCTGGACGCGGGTGCCGCGCTCATCCACTGGCGGCTTGCCTCACACAGTCCGACAGGCAGCGACTGAGGTGGGCCGGCTGTTGGAGAAACTAATCAAATCTCGCACGACGCATACGACGCATACGCCAGCTGCAAGCTGCAAGGCTGCTTCCCCTCTTCACTTAATTACCCACCTTTCAGCCAAAAACGAAAAACATCACTGAGCCGCTGTCTGGGAGGTGCTGGATAACCCCTGGCACATTTGTCCGCTGTGTCGAAAGCACCGTGGAACGTCAACATACGTCAACAAGTCCTTGCCTTTGAGGCTCGGGTGGTGCCAACATCACCTGAGGAAGCCATTACATATATATACAGTATATATATATACCGTGATATATTTTCAAAAATTGATCATGAGAAGCAACTTCCCTCCGCTCCGCCTGGACACGGTCATTGCGGAAAGTGCAATGCCTTGCGAATGCCGTTCTCTCTCTCTCTCTCGGTGCAAGAATGCGCTAGGGAACCGACTGCCAAGATGACAATCCGACAGTCACGAGATCCATCACCTCGGAAACGGACAGGTTGCCGCAGAACCACATTCTGGTAGCTTGTGCCAAGATGCCAATTGTGGAAGAACATGCATTGTAGGCCTTTGCAGTTGAATGACCTCAGCTATACCGGCTATACTAGTGTGTCAGACTCAGGTAATTAGATGCAGCATCAGGAGAGGAAGTGCTTTCATCCAGGGCCCGCTCTGCCAAGGTGTCAGTGTCCACCGGGATATTTACCTCATTCCAAATCCAAATCACTCAAAAAAAAGAAACATCATTGCAATCATCTTTCAGCATCTCGCACTCCCATTACTCTTGTGAGTCGTAAGAATGCTTGGGAATGCTTGAGAACCAAAATGGAATAAAAAACATTAGTAGCAATGCTTCGTAATCTGACTAGAAACGGTTGGGGTCATCGCAAGAAATTGTCCCAGAGCAACGGAGCCAACTCGGGCTCAGCCAGTAGAGAACATCTAGGTTTGTCCCAGGAACGTGTTCATTACTGCTCATTTGTGTAAAGGTGAGAATACACTATTCAGATCGCGAACTAAGATTCCCCTTGGGAAGCCTAAGTGACTAGCCAAAAATAGCAACCCCTATAGCCTATCAACACCCCACAGTTGTTGACATCCCACTTCAGATTTACTGGTAGGGTTGCCAGCCAATCCAAAGCCAGTGTGGCAAACAAAAAAACGCAAACTTTACCGACACTCTCACAGTCTTTGATATCCCCCTTCAGGTGCCTCGGGATGGTAGGCTAAATGTTGGTTTGCTATTTTTTGCTAATCAACATGGAATTTTGCAACTCAATTCTGACTGGTAAAAGAAAACAAAATCCTCCTTCTTGCTCTGCAGGACTCCCACTTGCATAATGTAGCCAAACTTGGCAAATATTGACAACCCCCCTCGTTGAACTTGATCTTGACATGCCCAATCTGCATGAAAGTTGCAAATTGTTGTTTTTTTGCTCACTGTGTTTAAGACTTTGGAATCCTACTTTGCGGGGTTTGACACAAAAATAGTAATTCTCACCATGGTTCATGGTACGTGCGAAAAAGAACCAGGTGCAAAACAATATGAAAAGGACGCAACCTTTTCAGCGAAGGGGCTAGCTCGAGTTCGAACTGCGGTCAACCGGCGCGACATGTCATCCATGTGCTCATGAAATGCGTGAACTTTTCAACTGGTGTTTCTCTGTTGGATGACGTGTCGTCTCGCGAAGCTGAATCCATGGGCCTTGCCAACAAAGGAGGTCATCAGCTGGTGCGAGATCTTAGTGAACCCATCGGCGAACATCAAATGGGTTGGTACCCGACGACAGCCTTCACGTGTCACTTCCTGCTGAGTGCTGCGAATCGAGATTATCGTTCTCTTTTCTTCAGTGATGGGGTTCTCTGAGCAGATGCAATCATAAAGAGAACGACAATCTGTGATGCGCAAGCTTCGAAGCAGGTGGGCGTCCGTTGGAACATCTCGCAAATCATGCGATTCAAAAACGAAGTCCTGTCAACGAACACGTCAGCTGCCGATGCCTCCGCTGCCAAAGTGCTACGGCAGATGCGAGGGTCCCGGGATGACTTAAAGTCAAAGAGGAGTGCACTCCCGGTCCTCTCAACGATCGAAGGCTCTGCCAACAAGGTCAGGCAGCCGCACTGCGAAGCAAAGGATTCGGCATTTGCCCAGCTCGAATCCGAGAAGGTCAGCAAATGGATGGTCTCATTCAAAGTCACCAGGAACAAGTTCAGGCCCAAATGCTTTGTACTTTGAAGGTGTGCGACAGCTTCAAACATGGCTGCCAAGTCACTGTACTTGGTCTTCTGAGCTCGGGAGCTCAAAGAAACAATGGCAACGTCCGGCCTCAGTTGGCCTGAGACCCACTGCAAACTGCCCGCTACCGAGCGCATCTCCAAAAGGTCTTCGGTGGCCAGTTCCTGATCGAACTTGCTCTTCGGGATCTTCGTCTGAGGGCCACGCATGCTCTCGATGAAAGCTGTCTGCAGCAAACTCAAAAAGTACACATTCTTTTGGCGGTCGAACTTCAAGTGGATTTGTTTTCCCTTGAGACAAATGCTCTCTTCTGTCTTGAGCTCGGTCTTTGAGCCCCAGGTGAAAAGACTCAGAACACGCTCACGGTCATACCTATCATCGTGGGCAAGCAAAAAGTCGTCGACGTACACCATGAGGACGCTCACCAACACTTCAACACTTAGTCTTCCTCTGTACCGCCTGGAGGCTTCTGGAAGTAGTAGAAAAGCTGGCGGTGTTGTGTGTGGCGTGTATAGCCAGCTTTCAACAAGCGCTTTGTCACCTCCAGCGGCCAAAGACGGGGAGCATTTGCTCATTGGAACTTTGCCTGACATCGCTTGCACTGAGCGTAGCTCCCTGTCCGATTTCCATACCTCCTGAACTCCGAGCGCGTCTCGCTCCAAAAAGGCTTCCGACAAAATTACTTCTGGATCCGGCGCAGGCCAAATCGAATCTTTGCTCAACTCTTTCCAACATGCACGCTGACAAACACGAGGTGGCAAACGACAAATGTTCACTGCCCTATGTCCGTGCTCAAACTCAAGTGGGAGTGTCACACCAAGCACAGCAAATGAAACCAAACTCTGGTGTTGCTTGCAAGGAAAGGAACATCTGCATCCAAACTCTCAACAAAACTCCCCCTGAGAAACACGTCCGCAACAAGCAACAAGCCCTGGACATGCCGAGTCCAAAATCATGGTGCCCGAAAAGTCGATCAACTCAGTCACATATACCTACAGGTGGAACACGCGTGATCGCCCAGAAGGAAGGCGGTGTAGCTAAAGAAGGAGGTGTTCTCCAAGGTCTTCTCTTCATCCATTTCCGGGAAAAGCACCATGAATGCCTGCTTTGCATATTGTGTGCTGCTGTTGGAGCTGCTGCGCTGACCTTTTAAATCAGTCGAGTGCTTTCCACGGCCTTTGGAATCGTGGCCTTGTGAGGATGATCTGCTCTGCGGACAACTGGGGTCACCATGCCAGTGACCTAGCTTGCCACAAGCGCTGCATGTCGATGCGCGCTTCATTTCCTCGATTGTTCAAGGACGGCCAGAAAACTTTCGACCAAGCACGGCGCTCATGCTCTGCAACTTCTTCGAAGTATCCGTCAACACATCAGCAAGCTGCGCAACTGTATCCTGTATCTCGGATTCCGGCGCTTCCTCTGTACTGTCGTTATCGACAGCCTCTGTGAACTCTTCTTCAGCTTCGTAGACACGGTTGACAAGTTGTCATCTGCTTCAATGTCCATTCCGGTTGTTCTGGAATGTCACCAAGGTCATCAACCTGTTCTGCAACAAATGCGCGTTTGGGATATTGCGACTTGCCAAACCCTTTGGGCGAAGGCCGTGAACTGGATGAGGATCATGATGTTGAAGCTGCTGTCAAAGAACTTAAACTGTAGGAGCCCTTGCCATGCGACGGTGCTCGAATCACATGTTCACGCTCCTTCTGACACTGCTGTTGGTGGCTTGAAGTCAGGAAACTGCACAGCAAAAGCCTCCTGAATCCGCTGACCAAACGTTGGAGGTCAAGTGCCAAGCGAGCTCGTTCCAGCAAGCGGTTGCCTTTGCTCTCACTGTCGTAGATGTTGAGCTCGACATGCCGATTGCTTCCAGGTCTTTCTCAACACGGCTGTACCTGTCGATGTACTGCCGAAGGCTCTCATTGGGAAACCTGGACGACTTCTCAAATGAATCCAACAATGTACGTTTCTGAAACAACTGCTTCTGTTGCAACGGCTGACGAAGGGTATCCAAAAGGTATTGTACCCCATTGCGGTCATGAACACGCTTCAAATCGAGGTGCTCAACTTCCAACTCTGCTTCGCCCGTGAGGGATGTCAACAACATCAATGCAGCATCCTGCGGCGGCATGTATGGACCGACTTGCTAAACGCCAAATCTCTATATATGCGGCGCTCCCAGTGAGCGAAGCCACGAAGGTCGTTTTGCTGTGGCTTCCACTGTGGCGGAACTGGTGCGGCCCCGGCATGCCACTTCACATGCTTCTCTGGGCCGCGCCGACTGTTCCAAGAAGCTGTGTCACTGCCAGGTGAACGTTTCTGCCTCCGTTCATCCAGCAACTGTCGAAGGGCCTCGAGGATCCAGTTCCTAGGCTCAACTGTATTGGGCTCGTGCTGCGCCATCGAAGGAACTGCGAAAGGTCGCCTGCCAGTGGGCGGAGCTGCAACTTCTTTTTAGTACTGGAGGGCTGCTCAACAACTGCTCGACAACGGCGTCTTCGCCTCCTAGGCAAAACCTGTAAGGTGTCAGGATCCACCGAGGGGTCATTGGTGGGTGCCTCACTTTCTGGTTGCTCTGAAGCTTCAACAGGGGCCTCATGAGGGTCGTCACCAACATGGGTTCTCACTGGCGCTCGTCGACCGGCGTGGGGCTGGTGGACCACCATGGGGCATGTAGACCCAAAGACCATGCTCTGTAGATTTTTGAAAGGCCTCAGGGGCATCATAAAACTCTTGAAGACCCACAATCCAAGCGTGACCACCGCCCACGCACAACGGACCACGTCGAGCGAGTGGAGGAGCAACGTAAACAGGTCCCTCATGGCTTTCCCTCAGACTCAACTTCAGCGGCTTGTTCGACGCCGGAACAGCAGGCGGAGGAGAGGTAAGCCGCAATGGAACATCTGTATTGTCATCATCCTCAAACACCTGGGAATACAACCGCTCAACGTCACCCACCTCCAGCGAATCGCGATCATCGAACTGCGACGCCGGCAGAAAGCGGCCCCGCTACCAACTCACCATGGTACGTGCGAAAAGAACCAGGTGCAAAACAACATGAAAAGGACGCAACCTTTTCAGCGAAGGGGCTAGCTCAAGTTCGAACTGCGGTCAACCGGCGCGACATGTCATCCATGTGCTCATGAAACGCGTGAACTTTCCAAGTAATCTGGAAACCGACCACTTAGAAATAGCAACGGGAAGTACGTCATAGCCACAGGCTGAGCAAGTGGTTTCAACCTGAGTCCGCTTTTCGGTTTCAAATCGCGCTACCCAAGGTTGCAAATCCAGAACACTAATCCAAATGCTTTACTAAAATAACAAGGGAATCCCATGTCCCCTCAACGATTCCCAGGGCTATGGCTCTTAATCACCTCATCAGACCCAGCGGCCTCCACATTGAAGCCCAAATCGCCCGTGGGCGCCGCTGATTCCAGCAAGGTCTTCACCAGATTCCGCGAGCGTCCACGAGTGTCAGTGGCCTGATCCAATTGCTGCAGCTAGCGCAACGTAAAGGGAGAAGGACAGAAGGAAAAGAAAAGGAAGAAGAGACAGGGAGAACAAAAGAGATCCACAAATCTAGTCTGGTTACTAGTTGGTTAATTTGTTCTTTTTGGGGTGTCGGCGCAAATATGGGACCTCGCGATTTGGGTGTTTAATTAGTTGACATTCTTCTTATCTGACGTTGTTTTTATTGAACCTGTAATGACTAATGATCTGTAATGCTCATCAAGAAGACCTGTATTGAGTGATTACGTTCAGTTGAGTGAGGAGGTTGGTTGGGGCGACCATGATGTTCCGTTGGATCATCAACGTCACCATGTCACGCGCTTCGTCCTCGTTTCTGTGTCGAGTCCTCATGTGTGTTTCATGAACTCAATTGTTTTGTTGTATAACTCTCCCTCTCTCTCACTGCATCTTTGGATTTTTCACGGCCATATCCGGCAATCAGGCAACGTCAAGAGAAGCAAGGTCTTGGCATAGCCGAGGACGAACGAAAAAAGAAATCTCGGTTCACGGCTGCATTACAAATACGGAGACCTGTATAGTCGTCTCCACGCATGACCAGCCAGAGCGGTTTTTCTTTGCATAATTCAGCCAGTTTTGCCTGGGACGACCACACAATCGTTTACCATAGTTCACTCTGTTCGCTGTTGTTGGCTCAAAGGAAACTTGCCTTAATGGATCATCATCGCTGGTTCTTAGCACATGCCTAAGTCATTTCATTGTATGGTGAAGATAGGATTCGCTGAAGAGATGGTGGTCTTGTGTACAATATCTCTACATTGTTGAAGAACTGCCGTATTTGCATTACTTCCATAATATCTATGAATGTCGGTCCTATTTTGAGAATTTGTTTGAGGCAATGAGTCGACTTTCTTCATCATGGCTTGTGTGAGATGGACCGGTTCTAATCCACAAGTAACTTTCCGTCTGACAAAATCAGGAGTTTCCATCTCGAATTTGCATGAGTCGATATCCAATATTTTAGTAGTCGGCGCCATGACATTCTTACTTACTTCTAGCAAATGTTTAAGATTCCGCGCCAAATGTTGGTTTCTTTGTTGATGTCGTTGCAGGTGGTCTCAAATCGGTCTTGGAGAGGTTCTTGAGTTTCAAAAGGGGTCAGGCCATCATTACTCACTTGGCTTGTCACACATTTATCATCATTTATCCTTGCTTAAGGGTAGACCACATTTGCCGGAGATCACTTCCGTCAAACATAGTAATTCATTAAGATCCCTGTTGTCTGTGGAGGATAAGACGGTGTCATCGGCATAGGGCGTCATGTCAAAATCCGGCCAGGGGCCCACGGGGCCCCGCCATGGCCGTGTCTTTGCCGTAGGCAGTCTCTCCTCTCCGAAGGAGAGAGGGCTGACCGCCCCTCGCCGCCGACCCCCCAGGAATGCTGTGTTTTACAGTGTTTTCTGCTTCTTCCATTTTTCCGCTCTTGGGGCTCAAGATGGGTCAACATGGATCAATATAGGCCCAACATAGGCCCCAATAATGCTGGAAATGCGTGCCTCACCGGGGTGCTTCGTCGGCATCGTGGGCGGCTGCTGGGCTAACAACACCAACAACAACCATCCCCACAACCATCCCCACAACACCCACGTCCACATCCACAGCCACCACCACCACAACCACAACAACAACAACAACAGCAACACCAACAACAACAACAACAACAACAACAACAACAACAACAACAACAACACAGACACCAACCACAACCACAACCACAACCACAACACTACAACAACAACAACATCATCAACAACAACAACCACAACCACAAGCACCACCACCACCACCACCACCAACAACAACAACAACGCCCCAGTGCCCTTTTTCCCTGCCCCCTCCCCTTTGCTTGGGGCCCTGGCCGGCTGTCGGGCGTAAGCCCTTAAATCAAGTCCCAGGATCCTCCCATTTGACACAGATCAAGTCCCATTTGCACCTAGCTCATACATCGAAGTCAATACACAACATAACAATAATGAAGAGATATGGGGATAAAGGGCAGCCCTGTCTGATTCCCGTTGCTTGCTTTTTGGCACAAAAAGAAAGTCAATTCTTTGTAGCAACCTTCGGCAACTTCAGTGCGAGCTGAATGCTGTTTTCATGCACAAATCTTAATGCCCTCTCTCAATCAAGGAGGGCTAAATTCAAAAGAATCTGTTGACTCAGACTAGTCTGGGATTCTGCCGATCAAATATATGACGTGGGGGGTTGATTTTCCAAGTTCATCTGGTCCATGCTGTCTATGACTCTTGGCGGCCTTTAATGCCGATTCCAGTCTACGATTCAAAAGGGCCTTCTTCATCCGCATGCTTGTCGTCACAAATGCCAGCTGTCAGGCATGCAAACTTCAGAATCGTTGTTTCCAGTGTTTCGTTTCAAGATCTTCGGTGAGAGTTTGCGCTCTTTCTGTTACAGTGTACGGACCCGTGCCCCATGCAAGCTAATGATATGAGCGTGTTGTGGGGTGAATTGTCGCTTTAGATTTTTGACTGCCCTCTACAAACACTTGTTCGGACTATACGCGTGGGTTCTCATTGAGCTTCTCAATTGTTTCGGCAGTCTAGCGTTGTTTGGAAACTTCTTTGTGTTCTTGCGTTGGTCCGCGGTTTGTGCTTAGTTGGCTTCTTTGTACAATTTTCCAGTGTAATATTTATATATATGTATATACCCAGAAGTCAAAAAGATCCCAAGAGCGCAAAAAGCTGCACGCAGGCTTTTTCCAATGCGCTTTGGTTGATGCTGGGGTCCTCCCCCAGACCCTGTATCTCTTGGTCAGTTTCAAAATGCCCTGGGCTTCGCCAGGGGGACAGGTCCTCCCAGGGCCAATGGGCACCTGTCGAGGTGCCAGGGGACAGGGTCGGGAGGACAGCCCACCGGATCCGGTCACGGGATTTTGGGTGGGCACCTAGGAAAATCCCGTCGAGGACAAAAGTCTTGTGGCAAAAGGAAAAACGAAGAGAGTCTCCGGGGCCGGTAGCCGGCAATCTAAGGAGAACCCTTCAAAGTCCGGATGAGTCAGTTCGTCCGCCCAGGTATTGTATTCCCTGGGGACGTGATTAGGGGCAATGCTACAGCCCTCACAATGAAGGAAGAGAACCAGTTCCATCAGCAGCGCGGCCGAGTAAGGTTTCTTGGCCGAGAGGTTGAGCAGGCTGAAGATGTTGCCTGAGTTGTCGCTGCAACCGGGAGGCGAACTCGTCCCGGAAGCTGGCCCTGTTGGGCCACCAGATGCTTGCAGAGAAGTAGGGTGCCCAGGAGTCCCAGGGCAGCTACGCGCTTCTGAGGGTTGCCATCCTTGAATGCCCAAGGATGGGCGTCCGCTGTGATGGCATAGTGAAACCATAGGACCGTGTCCTTGGTGGGGTTCGGGGAGGCCGAACACCAGCCCCAACATAGGCTTCACCAGTCCTTCATGCACTGGCGTCGCTGCATCCCTACCAAGGAGACTTCGGCAAGAAGGGTGAGTATTGTTCGAAGGGATGCGTGAAGAGCTAAGCCAGCATACGATGGTCCTGACCGCCATCTTCCAAGCCCAGGGTGGCTGGAGCATGGACTTGGTCAGGGGGCAGCATGCTGTTGCCCATTGGATCCGCCCCATTGCCTTCTCAATGGCTTTTGCTGACATGGGGGATCCGTTGGCAAGTTCCTCCAGGAGCTCCATGACCTTGATGTGCTTTGGGGCTGCCGAACCCGAGCCAGGTATTGATCTCTGCCAAGGTGAGTCTTCTTCCAGCTGAGGGGAGTTCCCAACGCCACTAATGTGCCCAAGAGAGCCGCGGTGAATTGCGGTCCGGTGGGCAGAAATCATCGACGAAGACAAAACCCCAATCGATCTGGGGAAAGAGGTAGTAGAGGATCCGTAGGAGCAAGGCCGCCATTCTGCCCCAGTAGAGCTGCGCACTCGCCATGCTGTAGGTACCCACTCCACTTTGTTGACCCACCATTCGTCCTCCAACTGTGCTACCTGGAAGCGCCAGTCTTGGGGCAGGACCTTGATTCGTCGGTGGGCCTTAGTCACATCGGCCTTCAGCAGGATCCATCCGGGTCCCCTGCCCGTGCAGGGCCTGGACTAGGCCGGGCGTGCTCCGGCCTCAGTATGTCTGGCGGCATGAAGCCAATGGATGGCATGGACACAATCCAGGACTGTAGGCGCCGTGGTCCGCTCCTTAGTGTTTTGTTGGATCTTGGCATTCGCTCCCCCGACCGATCCATCGTAGATGGTACGGACCTTGTCCCGTGGGACCTTGTCTGCGAAGGTAGCCCGGATCTCTTTGGAGAAGTCTGCCGCCGATGGGTAATTGTGATGTGCTTTGGGGTCATCCAGTGGTGCTTCCACTGGGTCTTCTCCCGCGAGTTCGCTCTTGAGGGGCCACACTCCCAGGGAGGGAGGGTGGGAACCGAGACCCCAGAAGAACGCCCGTGGCAAGGATCTGAGGGTACTGCCAATCTGGGTCCCCGGCGAGATCACTTGCAGGTAGAAGGGCTGCCCGTCTGGTGTAGTGTGTTGGTGGCCAGGATGGAGGATCTGTCTGATGTCCTTTAGCAGTGGGTCTGGGTACGGGTGTTGCTTGGACCCGCACGTAATCGACCACATGACTTGGTCGGTGAACGGAGTGGTCAGTGCAAGGATCTTGGCCCCCAGCCCAGGGGGGCCATCCGGCCCCAGGATGGTTTGCCCCCCCCCCGTCACGGAGTGGTCTGGTCTTGAAGGCCACCTGGAGGCGCATGAGGGGATCATGGATCGAGAGATCCTCGGAGATGGGATCAAACTTGGGGCAGTCGGACCACACCGTACTGGTATGCCACGTATCCTCCACAGTGGCAGGGAGAGCGGCAGCGCTGCCTTGTGTAAGGCCTGCGATGGCCCTGGCTGCCTTGCTTGCTCGGATGGATTTGTGCCACGAGGGCCCTCCTGTCAGGATCTCTTGGAAGGGTATTGGTCCGGGTCTGTAGGAGT